AAAGGACTTAATAAAAGGCAAACAACTCAATTTAAGAAATGGGCAATGGACCTGAATAGACATTTCTCCGCAGAAGACAAGAAGCACACGAAAAGATGTTCAACATCATTAATCATCAGGGAAATGCAAATCAAAACCATCATGACACACCACTTCACACCCACCAGGACGGGTGTTACAAAAAAGACAGACAATAGTAAGTGTTGGCAAGGATGTGGAGAAAATGGAACTCGCATACATTGCTGGTGGGACTGTAAAAGGGTGCGGACATTTTGATATAGTCACCATATGACTCAACACTTCCACTCCTAGGTATGTATTTCTCTTGGCAAGAGAAATGAAAATATACTGTCCACGAATGTCCACAGCAGCATTACTCATAATAGCCAATAGTGGAAACAACCCAACAATCCATCAAATGACGAACTGGTAAACTACGGGACACATTCACAGGATGGAACATTATTCAGACAAAGAAGGAATGAAGTACTGATATATGCTACAACATGGAGGAACCTTGAAAACATTACGCTAAGTCAAAGAAGTCAGTCACAAAAGGCCACATATTGTGTGATTCCATCTATATGAAATGTCCAGGACACGCAAATCACAGAGACAGGAAGTAGGTTAGTGGTGGCCCAGGGCTGATAGGACTGGAGCAGAATGGGGAACAACTGCTAATGAACATGGGGTTTCCTTTTTTAGGATTTGTCCTGAAATTACCGTGGAGATGGCTGCACAGCTCAGTGAACACACTAAAACCCACTGAAGTGTACTCTCTAAAAGGCTGAATTTTATGGAATGTGAATTGTACTTCAAAAAACTATTACTTCAAAGTAAGTCACAAGAGCATCACCTGCTTTGCAGGCATCAATGTTTAATTAAGCTGCTTCTCAAATGGGCAACTCCATACACTAAGCTTCAAGGGAAGGTCTGTTTACTATAATACGTACCACAGAGAACAGAACCACAAAAAAAGGAATTTGATTGTAAAGTTGAAAATGATTATAGTTCGGATTAATTTTTATAGAAAATGATTACGTAGCAACATTAGTCTCTTACTTACTTATTCAAAGACGGTAAAGCTGCTGAGTAATCACCCCTGGACACTGAGCTCTGAGCGTGGCTTGCACTCAGCCTGCCGCTGGCTCAGTGTCACTGCCCTGAGCAGAGCTGCGCCCCTCGTAGCCCCACCTTCCTGACCTCCCAGCTGCCTTCAGCACATTGCTCATCCCTCCTCCTTGGCACACTTTCTTCCCTACTGAGACCCCACCTCCTTGGGCCCTCCTCCCCATGTGCTCACTCTGCACACACTCCAGACACCACAGTGCAGCCCTGCGTCAGCCGGGTGCTCACCAGTGGCCGCCCCCTCTCACCTCGTCTAGCAGAGACGGCCCCTGGCCCTCCACCGGCCCCGGGGCTGCTCAACACCGCAGCCACTAGCCACAGCGGCTGCTGACACCCAAGCTGATGAGAACGGACGACATCACAAGGAGATTCCCTGCACCAGCCCCAGGGCAGCCGGACAACATCTGCGCCATCGCAGCAAGTTCCTGCGGAGGGTGCAGCTCTGGGTCACACCTGCTCATCAGTTCTTCGCTGTGCCTCTCCCAGGATCCCAGACCGCCACCACCACCACCACCACCCCGTCTGGTTCTTTACCCAGGGACACTTCACCAAAGATTGCTACCCTATCTTTGAACACCAACCAAACCATCCACCCATTCCTCTCTGGAACTTGCTCTTTCTCTAGAGATCCTCTCCCTCCTTCCCTTGGGAGCCAAGCCGGCTG